AACCTTTAATATATTATTTTAGTTTAGTTTTTTATGCCAGTGCACGGTAGATGGTTCTCTTCTACGTCTAGCCTTGCCAATAACAATTGACAGGCCTCAAGATTAACTCAGTGTCACCTTGCTAATTAAGGGCAGTTAATCCTCTCACCCTTCAAAGAATGCCGGCTTGTAACCCTTGTTTCATGTTAGGGCACGCAAGGCCACTCGGTAAAATGCGCGTGTGAACACACTGACAGGTGCTCAGCCATGCGGATATACGAGAAAAAAATGCATATGATTTAGCATTTGGTATGTGAAAATGACACTCCGGTTACGGAAACCGGATTTCCGGTTAAGTGAGTAGTTTTACAACGTTGTGAATTCGTTTTAATGAATTTTCGTTCAGAAGGTGAGTTTTCCGGATATCTGAGGTTCGGATAAACGGGGCACGACTGTATTAGTTTGATAATATGTTGGTTGAATGTTTTGCCATTTGGGGCATTTTGTACACTGAAGTGTACTTTTAGGTTGATATACGACACAAGAGTCTCTTATCAATGAGATTACAGTTTTAACTAAATTTTCACACACATGCACACACATGCACTCACTTACACATTTGTGTATGTTGGGAAGTAAGTTCTTGATTTGTAATTGAAATTGGTTTCCTTATTCTTGGTTATACTTACGTTCGATCATGTTATGTTAGGAGCAAGAATGTATATTTCATTACCTTTGTTTCCTCTATATTGACTGAAAGTGGTTACCATAGTAACAAGTGTTACTGCATTCAGTGACTGTATTTTTTAGGCTTGAAATAGAAAATATTTTATCAATTGATGAACAAACCAGTGACTGTAAAACTCCTAGCTGCACACAAACATTCCTTGACAAATCAACATTTCAGATTGAGACAATTTCCAATATCACAAGAGCTGCATGTAATTGCGGCCTCTCCTTTGTAATAATAATATTAATAATAAACATAATAATAGTCCATTTATCATGCACATTTCTCCACACATAATGCATGCTCAAAGCGCCCAAACAATCTGATTATTTTTTTATGAAATCAAAATAAGGAATGCAAACAATCCAAGGAATCTACCTCAGCTTGTTAATTACTGGTGACATGATCAGCATTCCCTGTCATGAGCAGGTATTTGTCAAGTTCAGTTTTTCAGTAACGTATGAAGTCTTACTGGTACCAGACCAGCACAACAAATACATTTAATGTTTAGATTGTGTGTCACATATACTACAATGCTTGTAAATGATTACATATTAACCAAACGGGCAAGTTTATAACAGTGATGGGGGAGATATGTTTGGGCTCCGTCCATAGGTCTCTTTCTGCAACCTATATTTTGAATATTGCAAAACTGTTACCATATTGTCCATGATAAGTGTCCTACTCCAGTTTGTACCTCTGACCGTCGTCAACACCAGTCAGTTACAAGTGAAATAACAGTCCATATTTTATTAGCTGCAAAATTGTCTATGCGGCTTAAAGCATTATTTACTCGCTCCATATTTTCTTGTGTAAATTACAGATATATTTTATTTAACAAAGAACAGTTAAGTGTAGAAGAGGTATAACTGTTATCTACGGAAATATTTGATTATAGGCTTTGGAACTAAGATCATTCACTACCACAAAGTTCCTGATGTCAAGTTTAATTATGTAATTTTTGTTATTATAAATGACAAGAGAAAAGAAAGATTTAACTCTGTGCGTTTCTGTGGCATTTTGTCAGTACTCAGGGTTTTTATTATGGTGAATATGGTAATTGTTTGTTAGAGGTGTGTCAGTTGGGTGAAATGAGGAATGCTACTATAATCAGAGTATAAGATGAATAATCAGTGTGTTGAAGTAGATATACCAAAGGGCTTGTGTCAACTAACTGACACCATTATTATAACAGTTCCAGCAAAACTTAAAGCTTTGCAGATGTACCTTGGTGGAACGTAGAATGAACATGTGTGCTGTTTGGAAGCTTTCTGTTCTCTGTTAGCGTCTGATCTCAGCCAGACATTGAAGCCTGTACTGTAGAACATGGTTGTAACAAACACCATGACTCGCATGACTGACTCATGTATGGTGAAGTAGATGTTGAAGCTAACACATGTATGGCATTCTGCCTTCGCTAACTCCGATAAAGTGCACTAACTGTCCTAACTAACACAAATATAGCATACTAACTGTCATAGCTAACATGGATATTGCCAACGGATTGTGATAAATAACATGGATATGGCATACCAACAAGTTTGCTTTTCTGTTGACGGTGCACAAGTCTCTAAGGTAAAAATTTGTAGTTAAAATGATAATTTCTATAAAAAAAAAAATTTTCTGGTGTCCCCGGCCGTGATGTTGCTGGAATATTGCTAAAAGTGGCGTAAAACCAAACTCAGTCAGTCAGTCTAAAAAATATAATAAGGAACAGACTGGGATCCTTTACTGTCCACCTATCTAGACTTCCCTCTTTAAAGGATAGAATTACTATACATCCATGGGCTCTGCAATCAGTACAGCCTTGGAGCAAGGCTCTAAGTCAAGGTAAAGCTGTGTATATAGACATACCTGTCTGACAGTACACTTGTGTTCTTGAATCCGCAAGTTTCACACTATGTATGTTGCCTGTCAGCAGCCATTGTGGAAGATAGTAATTATAGTATTACCAGTGCAAGTTTTTGGCTTGTAAATTAACTGAAAAATAACAAAGTACAGATATAACTAACCAATTTCAGTAGTCCAGTGAGGTTCATTATAGCCATGTTTTACTGTGTCTGAGGGTGTAAGTTTCTCATATTCTTTTAAATTGAGAGTAATGTGAACTTGTATATGTGTGGTTTTCTTTGTGTGACAGAAAACAGTGCTAATATGTCTGCCAATATGCTGTGTGAATTGTTGACAATACTGTATCTGCTGTTGACAATATTGGATCTGATGTTGACAAAATTGTATCATATGGGAATGTTGTCTATGTTGTGTCTGATATTGACAGTATTGTAGGTGATGTTGACAATATTGTAATCAGTATTGACATTGCGGCACTTGTCGTATTTTGTGAGTAGAAGGTTGGAGGGAGAATGTAATATTGTTGCTTTTTACACAATAAAACATGAATGCATTAATCTTCAAATTTTGTCGTAACATCATGTTACCATGGAGAGCACAGTGGAAGAGTAAGTCCAACATAGGCCATACCATGGTTGCCATGGCATCTTGGATGTCCGAAAGCCTGCAGAGTGTTCTGTGTGTGATGACCAAGAAAGACCAAATCCATGTGATCTGCCATTTTGTGGACCACTACTACCAATACAGGTCATGACTACCTGTGAAGAACTGATCTTCAGTAACCCATGCTTGTCATAAGAGGCTACTAACGGGATCGGGTGGACAGACTCACTGACTTGGTTGACACATGTCACCATATCCCAATTGTGTAGATTGATGCTCCTGATGTTGATCACTGGATTGTTGAGTCCAGACTTGATTATTTACAGACCATATAGCTGGAATATTGCATAGTGCGGTGTTAAATAACAACTGAACCATACCAAACAGGTCATGGCTGTCAGTTTCAGTATCAGACAAGTGGGTCACACAGGTTACAGTTACAGACCAGTAAACCCTCTTGTTCTCTTACCAGACATGGAGACACTGTCACATGACATGTCAAGGCATCTGACTGTGGTACACCTGTGGCTACAGGACCTGTCCAGGCATCTGACTGTGGTACACCTGTGGCTACAGGACCTGTCCAGGCATCTGACTGTGGTACACCTGTGGCTACAGGACCTGTCCAGGTATCTGACTGTGGTACACCTGTGGCTTGTGGACCTGTCCAGGCATCTGACTGGTACTGTCCAGGACCTGTCCAGGTGTCTGACTGTGGTACACCTGTGGCTTCAGGACCTGTCCAGGCATCTGACTGTGGTACACCTGTGGCTACAGGACCTGTCAGGCATCTGACTGCTACAGGACCCGTCCAGGCATCTGACTGTGGTACACCTGTGGCTACAGGACCTGACCTGCTGGCATGTCCAGGCATCTGACTGTGGTACACCTGTGGCTACAGGACCTGTCCAGGCCATCTGACTGTGGTACACCTGTGGCTCTGCCGTGAGGACCTGTCCAGGCATCTGACTGTGGTACACCTGTGGCTACAGGACCTGTCCAGGCATCTGACTGTGGTACACCTGTGGCTACAGGACCTGTCCAGGCATCTGACTGTGGTACACCTGTGGCTACAGGACCTGTCCAGGCATCTGACTGTGGTACACCTGTGGCTACAGGACCTGTCCAGGCATCTGACTGTGGTACACCTGTGGCTACAGGACCTGTCCAGGCATCTGACTGTGGTACACCTGTGGCTACAGGACCTGTCCAGGCATCTGACTGTGGTACACCTGTGGCTACAGGACCTGTCCAGGCATCTGACTGTGGTACACCTGTGGCTACAGGACCTGTCCAGGCATCTGACTGTGGTACACCTGTGGCTACAGGACCTGTCCAGGCATCTGACTGTGGTACACCTGTGGCTACAGGACCTGTCCAGGCATCTGACTGTGGTACACCTGTGGCTACAGGACCTGTCCAGGCATCTGACTGTGGCACACCTGTGGCTACAGGACCTGTCCAGGCATCTGACTGTGGTACACCTGTGGCTACAGGACCCGTCCAGGCATCTGACTGTGGTACACCTGTGGCTACAGGACCTGTCCAGGCATCTGACCGTGGTACACCTGTGGCTACAGGACCTGTCCAGGCATCTGACTGTGGTACACCTGTGGCTACAGGACCTGTCCAGGCATCTGACTGTGGTACACCTGTGGCTACAGGACCTGTCCAGGTGTCTGTCTGTCACTTGTCCAAAATCTCAATAAAATATTTCAAAGGGTCTTTGAGTTGAGCGGCAGAAAGAAAATGTGATGATCCGAGGGATGATTCATTTGAACAAATGGACATGTCTACAAAATCCCCAACTTTCATTTGGACAAAATACAAACATCAGTTTAAACATTATCTCATATTTATTAAATTCAAAATCTTACAAATTACCTACTTTTCATAGAAACCATTTAATATTCTGTACAATACATAAAAACAAATGAGATGCAAAATGAGGTGCTAGATGACAGCATTTTCATGACAACTACTACACAATCACGTTGAAATCAGATCTTAGTTCTTGCAGCTGCAACAAAGATATGAAGACATCCTAATACAGGTCACATCAGAATGACAGAAGGAACAATCTGGTATGTGTTACAGATGTCCGAGTTGGTACTCAGCAATGCAGTCGTCTTTTCTGTTGAAAAGTTCATCCCGATAAAGGAAGAGTGAGTGATTAAGGTTTTACGCCATTTTAGCAATATTCCAGCAATATCATGGCGGGGAAACCAGAAATGGGCATCACACATTGTACCGATGTGGGGAATCAAACCCAGATCTACGGCAAGGGGAATCGAACCCAGATCTTTGGGGAGACAAGCACATGCTTTAACCATTAGGCTACCCCATTGCCCTGATAAAGCAAGAGATAAATGAGACTTTTCACTAATTAGTGTAAATCTGTCATTTGGAATATTTTAAGTCAACTTTTTCAAGGCCGCTCAATTAGACAGCACATTCTGACTTCTGGCAATCTCTTTCCTGAACTGTTAGAGACTTGGTCAGAGCAAAGGTCATTCTTGTGTGCACACCAGTATTGGGATGTCCTAAGACTTTTGCTAGGCAGCAGCAAGAACTAAGATCTGATGACAATGAGATTGACTACAAATGGCAGTATCATTCTGGTACTAAATATGTGATTGCTCTGAATTGTAATTGTTGAAATACTTCAAACAAACCACATATACTGAAATACTGAAAAGACATGAAAGGGAAATGATGACCTGCCCGGGAGTTAAGGTATCACAAGGACTAGAATATACCGTCCATGTTAAAGGATTTTGCTTTTAGGGGGTTATCATTATGAGGACAAGTGGACTAAATATTTGTTTTCATCTCCGTAAATGTGGTGTTTCCCAATCAATGGATCCTGATCCTGATAAGGGAGGTAACTCTGCATGACAAACTGCAATACTGTAGCTCACATAGCCTCCTTTAAAATTTATATATGTTGTGTTCATGTTGTGTTCTGTCAACTTGCATCACATATTGATTAGTCTAACTCACCTGTCTTACAAACTCAGCTGATTAAAATCCCAAAATCTAAAAATAATGTTGTACATTCTTAAACATGTTTAAGAGTGAAACACATTTCAACAAATATTTCTTTACTTTATAGTATTGTTTCACTAATAAAACAGATGACACCAACATAACAGTATGTAGCAATAAAACATAAAAGATCATTGCAAACAAATTCAAAATAAATAAGCAAATTCTTCAACACACCACTGCCATTGTTTTACTCAAGCATAAAAGCAACTACGTTTCAGGTTTTTTTCTGAAATAACAAAATTGCATGCCTGTGTTACATCTCAAATCAGAAAAGGGGCTTATAGTTTTTGCTTTTATTTTGAGTTCTTGACTTATTGTTTAAATCGTATGAACAAATAAGCAACATTTATCTTATCTAATGAGCAACACTTGACACCTGTAAATCGAACTAACATGACTGTATTGCATACCATGACTGCTATTTTGGACTACTGCTACAACCATAGCTGTACATTGAACTTTTAAATGTCATTCAAAGAATGTAAACCATTTCTGTTCAGCTGAATCCAAATACTAATCAGAGTTTTTGTCAATCAGGATTCACAATTCTATGAAAATAATCCCTATATTGGCAGGTACAGAGACTTTAGGCTAATAAACTAATTTTTAATGAGAAATATGTTTAAATGATAACTTCAACTACACCAATAAAATTCAAAGACTCCATGTTTTATTATTTGGTATCTGGCGGTTATATTATTTAGAATAATTACTTATCTAAGATTACACATCATATGTAAAGGAAAGTCAAATGTACTTTTTAGGTTTCTCATTACCAACAGGTTGTAAATTAACATCCCATAAATAGTTTGAATGTATATTTTCCCACCCATAAAGACATTTTAATAAACTTCCTGCTTCATGTTTCTCTGTGTCTTCAGCCTTCCCTCCCTCAGTATTTAAAGCTCTCAATACCATCACTGCAATGTTACAGTTCAAATATGGTAAATTAGACAATAAAACTGTTCTCTACATCTTAAGCAACAGATGACTTATTACTTGAATCCTCAACCCAACGTTGACTTTTATGGTATCAGTTTTTCTCCAAACTGTTCATCATCTCATTTGAAACTGAGAATAAAGATGAGAAACGCACTATGATACGATGGAAGTTTTTTGTTTGTTGTTTAACACCACCCACACAGCAATATGCCACACTACAAGGCAGGCTAGCTATTCTCAAACGTTCAAAGTGCTATGAACCTCTCAAGTCCATTCTTAACACATTGGCTACAATCAAAGTTATGGATTCTTAGGGCTCTGAACATTCGAATAAGGGCCCAGAATAAGGACTGGATCCAGGTGATGTGTAAAACTGGATCGAATATCATGTGATCAATATTATGAGCAATTACCTCTCCACACCCTGATCATTGAGAATACATAAAACAGTTTCCACCTTTAACCAGCAAAATTAAAATTATTTATTAATACATTTAAATTACACTATTAAAATAATTTAAAAAACCTCAGGCAATGTGTAAGGTTTACAGGTTGTTTTAGTTTTTTTAAACTTTGGGCCTTTTGAGTAGGGTATGAAACACATTGATAACCTGGATGACGATGAAATGGTTATGAGAGAATATGAAGATCCGTTTGATTGTATCATCAGGACAGATGGGTGTTCCCTTTAAGAAAATACTTTCTCTCCTGTTCTTCACCAATACTATAGCATACTGGAGTCCACATCTGTAAGGATAACAGGAGAACAAACATCACATTGAGAAAATATCGCAAATATGTGAACAAGTGTTCCAAGATAAGCATGAAAGTCAACTGATCATCATCACTACTACTTCTCCGACACACAACAGATAAACAGGCATGGGTTACTGAGGACAAATTCTGTCTAGAATCCTGACTAGACATCAAAACGTTCATGGTGATAAGATTGTGCCTGAGATTGAGTGTGGTATTTAGTCACTCTAAGCAATATTCTAGTAATACCAGCTTTGTTAGTTGTTTAAAGCTCCACTCAGCAATATTCCAGCTATATGGCAGCATCTGTAATAATCAAGTCTGGACCAGACAACCCAGTGATCAACATCATAACCATCGATCTACACAACTGGGATACAATGATGTGTCAACCAAGTCAGCGAGTCCAAATCCAGTTAGTACCATTTTACGACAAGCGTGGGTTGCTGAAGAACAATTCTGACCCAGATCTTCAAGGGGAGACAAGCATGGGCTGCTGAAGAACAATTCTAACCCAGATCTTCAAGGGGAGACAAGCATGGGTTGCTGAAGAACAATTTTAACCCAGATCTTCAAGGGGAGACAAGCATGGGCTGCTGAAGAACAATTCTAACCCAGATCTTCAGGGGGAGACAAGCTTGGGTTGCTGAAGAACAATTCTAACCCAGATCTTCAAGGGGAGACAAGCATGGGTTGCTGAAGAACAATTTTAACCCAGATCTTCAAGGGGAGACAAGCATGGGCTGCTGAAGAACAATTCTAACCCAGATCTTCAGGGGAGACAAGCATGGGCTGCTGAAGAACAATTCTAACCCAGATCTTCAAGGGGAGACAAGCTTGGGTTGCTGAAGAACAATTCTAACCCAGATCTTCAAGGGGAGACAAGCATGGCTGCTGAAGAACAATTCTAACCCAGATCTTCAAGGGGAGACAAGCATGGCTGCTGAAGAACAATTCTAACCCAGATCTTCAAGGGGAGACAAGCATGGCTGCTGAAGAACAATTCTAACCCAGATCTTCAAGGGGAGACAAGCATGGGTTGCTGAAGAACAATTCTAACCCAGATCTTCAAGGGGAGACAAGCATGGGCTGCTGAAGAACAATTCTAACCCAGATCTTCAAGGGGAGACAAGCATGGGTTGCTGAAGAACAATTCTAACCCAGATCTTCAAGGGGAGACAAGCATGGCTGCTGAAGAACAACTCTAACCCAGATCTTCAGGGGGAGACAAGCATGGCTGCTGAAGAACAATTCTAACCCAGATCTTCAAGGGGAGACAAGCATGGGCTGCTGAAGAACAATTCTAACCCAGATCTTCAAGGGGAGACAAGCATGGGCTGCTGAAGAACAATTCTAACCCAGATCTTCAAGGGGAGACAAGCTTGGGTTGCTGAAGAACAATTCTAACCCAGATCTTCAAGGGGAGACAAGCATGGGCTGCTGAAGAACAATTCTAACCCAGATCTTCAAGGGGAGACAAGCATGGGATGCTGAAGAACAATTCTAACCCAGATCTTCAAGGGGAGACAAGCATGGGTTGCTGAAGAACAATTCTAACCCAGATCTTCACAGGTAAGCAATACCAGCTAGAGGGGGACACCAGGAATAGACTTTATACATTGTATGCACAAAGGGAATCAAACCCAGACATTCTGCAGGAAGCATGAGCACCTTAACCACTAGTCTCACTCACCACCTCCTGTGGCAGAGAACAGCTTATTTCATGCGTTGAGGTTATTGGGCAAAAGTATCCCATATTGGAAGCAAGTGAAGATATCTGAGAAGTACATGCCTGAGTCGAAGTCGAGTTTCTTGGATGCAGACCCATCACCTAAACCTTCAATGTCGACATCACTTTCCGGAGCATTGAGAGCACTCAGCGTCACATCTGTAACAGAAACACAGATCACAATGTCTTTGACATATAACCGATAGTGTGATCATCTTGGTGTCATTAAAATGATACAACATTAAACACATGTAACAAGGTCACCTAGTAAGCAATACCTTAGTGTGTGCTATGTAAAATGTCTTGCTCAAAACACTGACAAACTGCCCAGCATATGTGAATTTCCCGATGACTAGGAGTTGCCCGATGTGTGGGGTGTTGTCGTAAGCATGGGTGTTTCCTGATGTGTGGTTTTGCCCGATGTGTGGGAGTTGCCCGATGTGTGGGGTGTTGTATGCAAGGGTGTAGCCTGTCATGTAGGAATTACCAGATGTGTCGGTGTTGCCCAATGTATTGATGGTGTGTGTGTACTGCCAAACGTGTAGGCCTTGCATGTGTTGATTTTACACCAAGTGTAAATGAGATTGGACTCCATTTGATACAAATGTAAATGCCCCCCACTGAGATATACTCTCCCTGTCACAACACCCATCAGAGCTTCATCCGCTTGTACATTCTTCATCTCACCTGATGTTTTCTGTTTCTTGGTCTGGGGTTCGTGCGTCACGTGATGGGTCACTACATGCTTGACGACTGTTTTTGTTGGCGATGTCTCCACACTGGGTTGTATGCCAGCATCTTCAAATGCCTTCCGTTTTAACTGATTTTTTATTTGAGAACTGAAAGGTAGAAGTATTATATTCAACAACAACTCATCATTAGGACTGCCGGCTTTTCAAATGACATTAATAGTAATTTTGTTTTTCTCAGTTGATTGGGTCAAAACAAAATAAAATTGCAATTTTTATTATTCTTATTGTTCAACCTGAACTTCAAATTGATTGACAAAGTTGTGGAAGTGATTTTCTCTCATGTTGTTATCTCCCCTGTATCCATGACAACAAAATGGCGACAACTGACCATGCTGACATCATAATCACTGCATGTACAATCAGTATCAATTGCTGTCAAACAGTTTAGCTCCCAATAATATGTATCGAAATACAGATACCTGTCTTGCAACACATTGCAATACAAATCTATTGACAATACCTAGTCCTAAAAATCATGGTAAATATTATAGGAAATAACTGAAGGGGCCCAAAGCTGAACTTCTGAAACACTTCAACAATTTAAAGAAGCAGGGTTCTAAATGTTTCAACACCCTTTGGTTCAGTCTCTTTGGCATTTCTAAAACAATTTTTATACAAATATGATATTTTCTGCTGAAAAAACTTCATCAGGTCACTTTTAATTTCTTCCATTCATATGGTGTCCCAAATGCATCAGATGTTGCATAAGCTCCCAACAGCAAAACACATGTCGTCAGCAGCATTAGGTGAGGTGAGGTGAAATTGGGTTTAACGTCGTGCTTGAGAATATTTCGCTCATATGACGACGTGCATGCATGTGTGTGTGTGTGTGTGTGTGGCTGCTTGTACTAGCCCAGACTGAAGCTGGTTTTATAGTGCTAGCCCACTGAGATAGAGTGAAGCATGAATACCCCACTCAGACACATTATACTGACTCCGAGCCAACCAGTCCTTGTTGTACCCATCTATGCCGAACGCCAGGCAGGGACCAACAAGTACCATATTTTAATGTCTTTTGGTATGATGCGGTCGGGGATTGAACCTGCAACCTTCTGCTTTCCGGGCGGACATTCTAACCACTACACAACGGAAGCGATCAAGCAGCATGAGGCAACATACAAGTGTTGTTCATTATTCAGTATATTACTGCAGTGGAGTTAATGCATAGGAAATGACTGCATTTGATCAGGAAATAATGAGTAAAGATATTCAAGGATCCCCGCTAATGAGGCTAAATTGGGGAAATAAGCATGGTGGTATGATTCTGTTTCATGTTGAACTTCTCACACGTAATCAAGTCTTTGTTAAGTTAGTGACAAATCAAGTGGGTTATGGTGACATATTTTGACAACTGACTCCAACAAAGCTTCAGATAAATTATTGTGCCATGGAAAATTTACTTTGAAAATTTTCATTGAACAATGCCACGTTGCCATAATTAGTCATTCAACATATTATTACTCCTTTGAGACCAGCCAGCATGTTTTTAAACCAACAATTAGACATTTACCAGAAAAATTTGTTCTTGAAATGATGTTTCATGTTTACAATGTTCAGGTGACAACTTATCTGTTCACATCCTCATCTACATGTGTCACATATCAAACACAACTGATCTCAGAGGCTCAAACTACAGAGTCGTGGAAATGTTGCTTTTCTAATGATGTGAGTAAATCAGTATATAGGAAAACATGATACTTGTTACCATCCCCAGACACTTGACCCACAGGGCGGTGGGGCAGCCTAGTTGTTACAATTGTTCGCTCGTCAAACTGAAGACCTGGGTTTGATTCCCCACATGGATACAATGTGTAAAGCCCATTTCTGGTGGCCCTCGGTGATATTGCTCGAATAATGCTAAAAGTGCCATATAACTAAACTCACTCACTTGACCCACATACAACAGTGATATATGACTCAGTTCGAATAAAACCGCCTCCGTGGTGTAGTGGTTAGAGCGTCCGCCCGGGGAGCGGAAGGTCGCGGGTTCGATCCCCGACCGCGTCATACCAAAAGACGTTAAAATATGGTACTTGTTGGTCCCTGCCTGGCACTCGGCATTAATGGGTACAACAAGGACTGGTCGGCTCGAGTCAGTATAATGTGTCTGAGTGGGGTATTCATGCTTCACTGTGTGGCATGGTATCTCAGTGGGCTAGCACTATAAAACCAGCTTAAGACTGGGCTAGTACAAGCAGCCACATACACATACACACGCATGCACGTCGTCATATGAGAGCGAAATATTCTCAAGCATGACATTAAACCCAATTTCACCTCACCTCAGTTCGAATAAGAGTGATTATGGCTTTACGCTGCTCTTAGCAATATTCCGGCAATATGATGGAAGGGGACACCAGAAATGGGCTCATACATCTTCATCTTCTGAGTGAAGAATGCACAATGTAACCATGGTAACCACTCGGCTATCCCATCACCCACTGATATCAAGACATGAAAGAAACACTTCTACACATTTTCACTACAGTGTTGATAAACTCATAGTAGTGGTAGGTTTGGAAATGTTTACACATATTTGTACATGGTAATAGGCAACTCTTAATTATTTGATTAATGATAAGTTTGATTTTATGCATTTTCACAGCTTATCTGGAGCACTAAACAGAATTTGACAAGCAGTTTGTTTTCAACTGTATTCCTAAGGAGCATATCTCAGTTTCCGAGCATCAAAGTAATTCATTCTGTCACCATGTATGAGTTATCAAGACAGTTAATAAAACAAATACTTACATAGTCCTATTCTTTATTACGTCACTAATTTTGTTGAGATCATCTCCAAACTTTTTAACAGCCGATCTGAGCATTTCAATTTCATTGTCTGTCCATTTTCCACTGTTAAAACAAAATGTTAGTTGTTAGTAAAGTGCAATTCAACAAAGAGATCAGGGCTTGTATTTCCAACATCGGACATTAATAATATTAATTGTATCTTAATAATTATCAAGTTAACATTTGGGTCTATTCCCTGTAGAGTAAATTCTAGAGGTGTAATGATATGGCAGTACAAAACTGTATCAAAATTCCCATCCAAAGGTACAATACTTAAAGGCACTATTTCACATAGACTCAACCCCTCTAGCCCCCATCCCCCTGTTGTTACAAGCCAATAAGTAGTACCTCTAGCCCCGCGCCTGGCTGTTCTGTTAGCTGTACTCACTCCCCTGTAGCTGGATTAACTACTCACTCCCCTGTAGCGGGATTAACTGCTACTATTAATTAAATCGTAAGCTCGTTTGGTTAGGTGTTGGTAGTGAGTAGGTGACTACCGATACTTAGGGAGATAATAGTAGCTAATAATTGACAAAACAAATATGAAGATTCTATATTTATTTACATTCACAAATGTTTTGATTCAGATCTTGAAGGTAGAGTCAGATCAGTTGTTTTTATGCGACATACATATTGTCAATCATATGTCCAATGGCACACAGTTACTGGTAGTCACCTACTCACTACCAACACCTCACCCCCGACATAGTTAACGAGCTTAGCAGCAGTTAATCCAGTTACAGGGGAGTGAGTACAGCTAACAGAACAGCCAGGCGAGGGGCTAGAGGTACTACTTAGTGGCTTGTAACAACAGGGGGCTAGGGGAATGATGCCTTCACATCACACTTCTCTACAAATAAATAATGCATTTCTCTCAATAATACGAACTATCAGCCCTCATGGAAGCTACCACATAATTTAGTCCAAAAAACCCCAAACATTATGTATTTATACTGCAATATTAAATTAAAAAGTTCGAATGAATTAATGCAACATTGCTTTAAATCTACTCTCAAGCCCTCTACCAGCCACACATTATTTCAAGCGAACCCCATACAGTTATGTCCCTTGGAGTGCTCCTGATGAATATCCTTTAACTCTTTTGGAGATAGAACTCAGTCCTTGACAAAAACATATGAGCAACTTGTGACTGAAACCAGTTCAGCAAACACTGACAACACTGTGTGTGACAGTTTTCGACGTACGGAGCAATTATTTACATTCCATATATGGCAAGTGTTCCCTGTTTGGAAGCTGTTTGCCTCTAGTCTCAATTATCGATTTCAGGCAAGTCATAAGGGATAATATGTCTTATTGCATCGAAAGGAACCTAAAGTGAGTTTATATTCCCCAAAATATATAACACAGGCCAAAATATTGCCATATGGCAGTTTTCATATCATATCCCATATCAACCGTTGATAACACCACACCAGTCTGAATGTTTATTTACGGGGGATGATGGTTTCACATTGCATATGATTTGAAAATAGTCGCATAATAATCTTTTATCATGTACCAAACATCAAATTGTAACATGTATCTATGTACAATGCAATACATTTTCACCTTGATATGTAAATGTTACAGGAAAGCTATTGTACACCAAGGGACATAACTCCAATTTCTTAACACTCAGGTTCATATTGTTTGGTCATTAAAATGCACTGACAACCGTATCAGCATGGCTGAACTTATTACATCCTCTGTAACATGACCATCTCTAAGTGGGCAAAAAGCCTAAGATCATTAGGTGGTACATCCTAAAGTGATTTACAAACCCTCTATCGTGATACACACATTACAAGTTACAGTGGTGTAAAACAAACAAACAATATCAGGAATGTCAATTTTTTGGGGAATGTAGGAATGCAGTTTAAGAAGAGGACATTGGCCCTGACCAACCAATCCTATATTTTATCATCTTAATGCTAAGTATGAGGCAGTGTAACAACAAGCACCAAGGTTGGAGGAGGCAGTTATTCAAAACGACATCGGAATATGTAACCATGGTAACTATATCTGCAGTATGTTAAAAGCTGGAGATTCCTGCAACCTATGCTTGAAACAAGAGCTGACTAAAATGGACTGGGTCTTGGCTGCGATATACTTTAATCTTAATAATTATGATAGTTCAGCTGCTATTTAATATGTTTAATGTTAAATATTGGTTGTAATAACAATGATTGTAGTTGTGATCTTGATCACCCTTTGTGAACTCATTCCCTACTAACATAGTATATGAATATACTGATTTTAATGGCATGCCTCCTGGCAAGGATTTTCATCTAGGATTCCAAACTAAGTTCCCTTGGTTGGCAAATTTGGCCAAAATCATGACATAATTTTAAATTGGATTTCTTTTTAATGCTAACCATTTCTCTAATTTGCTGCACATTTATTGGAACACTTTCACATTTTTCAAAGTCATGTATCTAATCACTAGATCTAATCATGTTCACTAATCATGCTAATCACTTTATTACAACATAGTACAAAAAACTGTGATCTGCAATGTTAAATTTCAATCACAATAAGTTAGGTCTGTCATTGAAAAACTTTTGTCAATCAGTATATGCTGTTAGCTGCAACAAGGCAGGTGTCTTCATGATTAAACCTTCTACATACCTCGTGGGGCTTTGCTCAGTTGTTGGATGGAGTTGCATTGTCAACTCTCCCAACTTGCTGAAGGCTGATCCAGCAGCCGTAAATATTTCACCAACCTGTAACATCATTTGAGAAAAGTTAGAGCAATATTCCACCAAGGTCATTGAGGGTTACAAAGAGTATATGATGGTAGCTTGACAAAAAGATCAAATCTGGTCCAGACAAGCTATGGATTGATCCAATCCTTCAGGGTACAACAACACCCAATGCATTCAGTCAGGTCTCCAAGTCTAACAATCTAATCCATTTGGTCACCTTTAACAACAAGCTGTGGACCCAGAATCACCATAGGGAAGTTATGTAGGACTACACCACAAATAGGAACCTGGGCCTTTGGTGTGATGAAACTTTAACCACTAGACTACCTGTCCTCTGGAATAAGCTACATATCTGTGGTGATGTCAGAAGCATTGGTCAGAGGTTCAATCTCTCCCTGACTCTCCTGACTTGTATTACAGATGTTAGCAACTGTTCAGAACGACTGATAATGAGAAAATAATGTGTATATCAAGTGGATCTGTAGGTCATCAGGCTTTCAAGCCATTAGTAACAATACAAGCATTATCAGTAGAGGATTTTTTTAATCATAAAAATACATTTGCAAAGGAAGGATGACTGACTGTAGGTGACAAAATGTAAACCTCTTGGGAACAATTTTTGTTGTTGTTAATTGCGATAGCAAGTGATACAATATTCATACAGCTGGATAATACAGAGAATACATTTATTCAAGCTGTGGAATAAATGGGAGAAGACACGATTAGTGGGTGTATGAATAAAGAAAAAGGTACAGGGATATAGGAAAGTAAGAAAACAGAGGAGAGAAAGGATGGTATGATGATCTTGGGAACAAAGTGGTATAACAATAGTTTATAATTTGAGCTGTGATGGAGCTATTCTGGACCTTTTGAAAATCAGCATCAAGGAGTAAGATGGAAATTCTGAAAGCGTGAATTATAGTGACATTATAGAGACCAGTCGATGTCAGAAAAAGATACAATGTCACCACTATTTTAGTTTGTTAACTGAGGATTCTTCAACGTACCCCAAATTAGGTGATAGTCACCCTAACACGTCAAATTCAGTCTAGTAAGGCTGACTTCACATTATGGGAGTGTGCCTAACATGTTCTCCCCACTATCCCCTACCCCCTTCTCGATGAAATGGCGGCATGACGCTAAATTATCGTGTAAGGTCATATCAAATTTGACTTTAGACCATAGAAATGACTTCGCCTCCTTACTGAAACTGGCAGGGGTACCGCAAAATCGCTCGAGTACGCATATTGTGAGGTGTACAACGTCGCTTTATTCAAGCGTTACAACATAAACAAATGTTGCAGCACAAAAGAGTTTTGGCAGTGTTTGGTATCCTATTTCCCTGCATCAGTATTTCCGTAAGAGCATTATCATTTTGATGCCTTTGGTTGTTACCTTGCTTGCAGAACTCATAATGTGATCATCAATTCACTAACAACATGCTAAAAAGCAACAAATTAATCAGAAAAATTCATTGTTTGGGTTGCATCTCCCGCGGCTGACAATACCGGAAGCGGAACCGCCTTTGTACTCTCGAAACAGTTTATTTTGAAGTTCAACAAAAGTTAATCTAAACAAAAACGTCCGGAGATTGTAAATCACGATTTAATGAGTATTTATTCTGTTATGTGAGCGTTTATATAAAATGCCACATTTATTCAATAGACACAAAAACTTTAATCAAGGTATTAAAGGGTCTGTGAGTGCACAAATAAAAACTAATAAATTCTTAATGTTCCAAATTCTAGGCCCTACACAACAAGAATAAAATTAAGGATACTGATACAGAGGGCATATCTTGTAAATACCTTTGAAAGTAATCATGTTATGATTATCTCTACCGAATCTCAACATTTCTCTCTAATCATTCGTATAAAAACTGAAGAGGTGATGTATCTAAATAAAATAGGAAATATTTCTTTCAAATGTTGCCATCTTCTTGCACAATGATATATTATCATGACTGTAGCAACAACATTATTGAGGTTTTTCATGTTTTAACTGATGTTTTGGCAGAAATGGGATATTTGTTAATTGTCCAATCAAGGGCAACGGTAATATGTAGTTGGCCATCTCAGTCCGTTTTACATTAAATATTCATTCCTACTTTTCTATACTGATTTGGGTCGGAGAGTAAATGTTCTATATTTAGGTGTCCCGTGACTGCCTCCTCCAAGACTGTCAAGACTCTCAGCTGATCATCAACTTTCAGGGAGGATTTGAATAAGTTCAAAGATGACGGAGACAGAGAAATCGCCCTTATTGGGCTCCCGAACGGAAGACGAAGATGAGGAGGTGGAATTGTCGAAATGTGGCGCTACACTATGTTGCGATCCCAGGAGATTTCTACACAGATACCTGGTTTTGATAGTGATGTGCTTCCTTAGTTTTGGTAAGACATCATTTTATTTTAATTAATTTGGAAGGAATCAGTTTAATTCTCAATGTAATTTGTTTAAGCATTGTGCAAAAATTAATATAATACAGATTTGTTTCAAAACTTGTTTCAGTATAATATTCAGTTGACCCCTCTCTTTATGTTGTCACATGACCGTCACAACATCAGCTGGTCGACAATAGATGACACACGCAGTCATCTGATGATTAAGAATAAATCTAACATCTTTAATTAGTTGTAGACTGGTTGTCAGGATATTGATTCACTTTAGCTTGTTTCTACATTACATATTGTGAAAGTGTAGTTAGGCAGTATCCTCAAAGCAATTATCTTGCCAAAGACATACTCAGATGCTATATCATTACAGGCTGTCCCTGTCTATGACAGCAGTACTAGAAAATCTGGTTATACAAACTGTTGTGTTATACAAATCTATGCATGATATGTCATGGCATACAGGCTGCAAAATGTAGAGTGCTACTCTAATCATGAACTTGTTCATAAGTTACCCCAGATCTAGTTCATATGAATAAACTCGTATTCCAGCCAAGGCCTACATCGAGTTTATACGGCGAGTGCATTTTCTTTGACGCACCTTTCCGCAAGAAATTTGAGCGGAACAATTTTAGGCAAAAACAAGAATGAAGACTCAACCTATCGACTTAAGCATGTGCATGCATTACTAAAACAAACAATCGTCTTCAAAACGAGACACTTACCTCCACTAAAATCGACTCACTTTATTACTTAATGACCTGAAACATAAATACCCCCACCAACTTTCCACCATCTGGCGACCATTTTGGTTGTGGTAATTAAAAGTTGTATAAAAAAAAGGAATCGTATTAAACGGACCGTGATTACATGACGCTCTGAAGTCGGAGGAAGGGGGACGAACTTTAAGCAGTTTCTATTTGTTCCTAAATCCGTTTTAATGCGTATGCCAAAATCCGTTGTGCCTCTCTGCCTAGTGAAGTGCGTCAAAGAACTTGAATTAGCCGGCTAGACGTCGAGCACACCTTGGTATAGTGCAAAGTCGTCTAGTCATATGCTGGACTACCCCAGATCATTTGTTAACCCAGTGATAAAACGTACAATATGCTGCATAGGGAATCAGAGTATCCCGGTGTCAGGGTTTTTTGACGATGTAAGACAAAAACGTAATTTTTATCTGTAATATCATTTAAAGTTTTTATTTTACTAACCTCGAGTGATAAAGGATATATTCGTCTATTTCACACAAAAATATCAAGTGTTTCCTACAAAAATAGCGTTGATGACATCGTATCGGTGAAACAGTGGCCGCTCGTAACATCCGGCTATTTTGTATGGGTTTTCGACGATGAGCCATACTTTTTGCTCCGCACTGCCGGGGAGTGTTGTGATCACGCGTGGCTTCCTGGTTATATATTGCCTATCACCAGCAGACGACTGATCTTACTGAATTTTCGGCTTGCTATTTTTGTTATAAAGGCAACTGATTTTGCATCTGAAGTGGTATTAACGATCTCGGGTAAATAATATTGATGTTTGTTTGCTCTTTATATAACTTTACTTCCCTATTTCCATTGTCGATAAAACTTCTCACGACAGAGACTGGGCACCCGCCCTACCAGTGAAACTGTTTGTGCACTCCCGATCGCACACGTACTCACCCGATATAGCGCGAGCAATGCATTCGTCTAAATCACTAGAACGTCGAATTCAGCTCGTGTTGGGATATATGTTTTTAGTGTATGTTTCTGTTTTGATATCTGTGTGAATATATCCTGGCTGCCGAACAGTTATCGCCATATTTTAGCAGTATTTACAAAAGTACTCAGCCGTTCGTTAATTTAATGACACTGAATTAATTATGATACTTAATTAGGTATTCGCCGATGTGTCCAGCCTGTTCACCGCTGCTGACTATGTTTTTGTATAATGCGGCAGAAGGGAATCATGGCATTACAAATAAATGTTTTCTCAGTCACAACTAACTGTAACAGTTATCACCATTTCATAATTTCTCATGCCATTTGTGAAATAATATATATATTTTTATCATACAGTATACTCGAATAATTGATTGTGTGACTATTTGACTTGAGTGTTTCTTTTACAGTAGATTGATAGGGAATGAAACAATTAATGACTTGTGAACTTGAACTTGCTATTATATAGATCGTGTTGCATCCCCCCGACTAAGTTAAAAAAGACATTATAAAGTTCATCACTTTATGTTTAATTTTTTCTTATGTTACTTACCGTGAAGAATTTTCTTTTGCTGTCTTTTATTGTTGTCAAATACCGTGGGTAAAATGTACCGGAATTGTTATTGATCGGGAACTGCACACATGTGATACTGATGACTTGGCGATAACTGTTCGCCAGCCAGTATCTTAAAAGTCTTCAAAGCACAACAAATGATGTCTTAGATCCAAGTATGAATTGAAAGGGAGATAACTCAAACCTTGTTTCTTTCCCAAATTTGAAACATTACATTGTATCCCCATTGTGTAGATCCATGCTCATAATGTTGATCACTGGATTGTCTGGTCCAGACTCGATCATTTACAGACCACTGGCATATAACTGGAACATTGCTGAGTGTGGCATCAACCAAAACAAATGCTTGGGCCCAAAATCCATAAAAAATAGAAGAACAGATTTAATTTTATGTTACAGGAAGCTACTTCTGCTATGACAACCCAGCTGCTCTGCAAGACAACATGTTGAAGGACCTAGACATCTCTGAGAGTCAGTTCATGTCCTTCTATTCCTGGTACTCATGGCCAAACGTCATCCTCTGTTTCTTCGGTGGATTCCTCATCGACAAGTTGTTGGGCGTCCGTCTTGGTGCCATCGTGTTCAGTATGTTTGTGACAACTGGACAGGTATGTGGTAATATGCTCACATGATTTTATGTGACACTTAGCTATCTTGCCATGAAATGTTTGCAGTGGTAGTGCCCTGTATGGATGCCCTGTGTTAGAGTAGGTCCCAGCAGTCTCAGAGGTTGTTGTAAGAGGCAACTTACTGAGTCCTGAGGGCGGTGGGGTAGTCTAGTGGTTAAAGCGTTGGCTCGTCAAGCCGAAGACCCGGGTTCGAATCCCCACATGGGTACAATGAGTGAAGCCCATTTCTGGTGTCCCCCGCCGTGATATTGCTGGAATATTGCTAAAAGCAGCGTAAAACCAAACTCAGTCAGTCAGTACTGAGTCCTGAGTCAGGTTAGGTGACATGGTTGATCATATGTCTTCCTGACTGGTTGTTTTGATGAATGCCTAACTCAGCAATATTGAAGCTAGATGATAATAGCTTGTCTATGATGTAAAGGTTGATATTTTTAACACTGACCAACATAATACACTGAATGCGTGTGTCATTGCTCATTATATTGGTACTAACTTACAGGGCCCTGTTTCAGAAAGCTACCGTAGCACTACGACTGTTATAAGTCTATGTTACAGTGAAGGAGGTACGACAGTCCTAGCGCTACGACTGTTATAAGTCTATGTTACAGTAAAGGAGGTACGACAGTCGTGGCGCTCACTGTTATAAGTCTAAGTCTATGTACAGTGAAGGAGGACAGTCGTATGCGGTAGTGGCCTACTGTTATAAGTCTATGTTACAGTATGTTACGAGTAAAGGGAGTCAATGTCGACGGCACGACTGTTATAAGTCTATGTTACAGTAAAGGAGGCAATGCATAGTCGTGCGCCACTTATAAGTCTATGTTACAGTAAAGGAGGTACGACAGTCATGTTTATAAGTCTATGTTACAGTAAAGGAGGTACGACAGTCGTGAGCGCTCGTGACGCTGTTATAAGTCTATGTTACAGTAAAGGAGGTACGATAAGTCTATGTTACAGTAAAGGAGGTACGCACAGTCGAAGGCCACGACTGTTATAAGTCTATGTTACAGTAAAGGAGGTAATGACAGTCGTGAGCGCTACGACTGTTGTAAGTCTATGTTACAGTAAAGGAGGTACGACAGTCGTAGTGCTGCAATAGCTTTGTGAAGCGGGTCCCAGGTTTCCATCATACTGCTGGAATATTGCTGATTGTGGCAACAGGAAGCAAACACATTGTCAACAATATACACCAAGAAAGTTTCAGTGGCTCATCTTGGATTTATCATAGATACTTTGTCAGAGAAAAATAAAAGAAATTTGATGTTTAAAATTCAAAGGTTATTTTTGTAAATTCTTAGGACTTGGCATGTTTTTATTCAAATTAGGAATTGTTACTGTCATTTAATGAAGAAATGGAGCTGAATATCCACCTTGGTTAGGTGCAGATACTGTTGGTAGAGGCATAGCTGCTGTGTTACTGAGGTAATCAATGTACAACCTAGGTTGTCTAGGTATTGTTTCATCAATGTTTACTTATTGACATGATCAGAGGTCAGGATACTGAAAATGACACCTATTCTATTCCAGATTATATTTGCATCAGGAGCTCTGATCCAAAATATTTATCTCATGTATTTTGGTAGATTTGTATTTGGGTAAGTAATGTGTCTTCTGAGCATTTGAAATGCATGACGATGTGTTGATGCCTAGTGATAGATGTCTTGTGATAATTGCTGAGTTTTCTATCTGCGCTTGCAATCACTAACATTAGAGAACAGTAGAGTAGCCCAGTGGTTTAACATTTGCTTGGCATATCGAAGGCCCAGGTTTTATTCCCCACATGGATACAATATGTGAAGACCAGTTTGGTGTTCCCGTCCGTTATATGTTGGAACATTGAATGAAACAAAACTCACTCTGGGATTGGGATAGAGAACTTTAACAATGGGCCTTTTTCTGAATTTAGAATGGGCCACTGCCCTTGTATCAATAGCAAACTTCAAAATTCTCATGGGCCATTTTTTATTCTAATGTGCAAAATGGCCCATGGCCCCTGCCTTTCCCAATCCCTGCTCACTTGATGCCTCCATAACAATATGTCTGTTTCCTGTATGCAATTGATGGACTGATATCTCAAAAAAATATAAAACTATAAACTTCGTCCATGTATGGAAGCATCACATATTTTTGGGTGGGAAGATTTTCGAACTATTTTCAACTGTTCATGTTACAGTAGAAAAAGCTGTTGAGAACAGACGAAGATGTATGATCACGGCCTTCTTTATGCTCAGCCACATCTGTTGACAGGCTCTCCATGCATGGTATTTTACTAATCTTATTTCTGCTGCATGTTATAATGCTTGTTTTGTGCTTCCAGGTGATCTTTGCTTTGGGGTCTGTGTTTAACCTGTATTGGTTAATGTGTGCTGGAAGATTTGTGTTTGGGTAGGACTTTGCATTTGACCCTCCTGTCTCCCTGTTCCCCGATTTTAGCATTGAGTGATCACAATTCCCATACCGTAACTTAAGACTGATGGATGCTCATGCTGTTGATCACTGGATTGTCTGGTCCAGACTCAATTATTTACAGACCGCTGTCATATAGATGGAATAATGCTGAGTGCAGCGTTGAACAACAACCAAACCAAACCTATTGTGTAGATCAATGCTCATCCTGTTGATCACTGGGTTGTCTGGTGACTGATTGATCATATAGCTGGAATAATGCTGAGTGCAGCATTGAACAACAACCAAACCAAACCTATTGTGTAGATCAATGCTCATGCTGTTGATCACTGGGTTGTCTGGTCCAGACTAGATTATTTACAGACCCCTGTCATATAGCTGGAATATTGCTGAGTGCAGTGTTAGACAACAACCAAACCAAACTTATTGTGTAGATCGATGCTCATGCTGTTGATCACCTGATTGTTTGATCCAGACTCAGTTATTTATAGACTGCCCCATGTAGCTGGAATATTACCTCCTATATCGACAATAATTACCTCCACTGAAATAGGAGCCCCACTCCACTCAGCCCTGTCACCCCTTTCCTGTTGTATCCAGGCTCTACATTGTTAAAAATGAATTTAGTTCAGATTTTAATTATGAATCAGATGAATTACTGAAATTTTGTGTTGTTTTGTTAGTGAAGCAGCCTCTATCTATAATTATTACCATATTAATTTTCACTAAATTAGCTAAACCTGTGTGTGAGTGAGTGAGTGACTGAGTTTAGTTTTACACCGCACTCAGCAATATTCCAGCTATATGGCGGCGGTCTGTAAATAATCGAGTCTGGACCAGACAATCCAGTGATCATCAGCATGAGCATCGACCTTCGCAATTGGGAACCGATGACGTGTGTCAACCAAGCCAGCAAGCCTGACCACCCGATGCCATTAGTCCCCTCTTATGACAAGCATGGGTTACTGAAGGCACATTCTAACCTAGACCTTCAGGGTGCTAATCCTGTGGTACATGATGAGAATGATTAACAAGCCTATGCTTTCTAGCCTTTATTTGCATTTTTATGCAATTGCGAACTTACAAAGTTGACAACCTTCTTTGAATATTATGAAATGGATTTGTGTTGCTTTTGCTCGTGCATGTTTGGTCATGAATAGAGTGATAACAGTTTGGTTATTAACCATAGCTTCACTGCAAAGTGTTCACTCACTCACTCATTGTGTTCTAGGTTTGTAGTACCTGCTTGGTCTTTCCAAAGCAATTTCTACATTTCTTTTTAAGGATGTTATATCAAATCAAGTTTATTCATTATTTTCATTTCCTGATGATGATCTTCAGATTAATCAGTATAGAAAAAAGACCGGATAACCCAGGAAAACTGTTATTTGTTTGCCTGCAACTATTTTCAAAACCTTCAGTCAAGTACTCAGTGTGCGAAACAGACACTAGCCCGCTAGCCTGTGGCTAATAATAATCCAGTCGGGCCAGTAAGTCTCCACAGTCACTGGTCCGAGTGGCTAGTGAATTGTTATGGGGTCATTTGTAAATATATATCACTCTCTCCGAATTGTTAAGTTTACACTTTTAAATCATGCAAGATTATGGCCTGATAAAAAATTCATCTTAATGATGAAACACGTGTCTACATTCACATTTCGGGCTGGCGAATTATTTTGTGGGCAAGCAACTTTCAGGGATAGCTAGCCTGACTGGCTAGCAACATTTGGAAACTATTTCTCACACTGCATGTACTACAACATCATATGTGGACTGCTACATGGCTTAATGGTCAAAGCGACTGTCCAGAGAGTGGAAGGCCAGTGGTTCGATACCAAACCATGTTATACAGATTAAAAGATGGTACTTGTTGTTTCCCTGCCTTGGTCTTGGCATTAGGGGGAGAAAACATCAGTCAGTGTGCAGTCTGAGTGTGCTATTCAGTGGGCTAGCTATGTTAAACCGACATTAGTCTGGACTATCACAAACCACACACATTCATGCACATCACTATATAAATGGAGCAATTTTTAAAGCAATGTTTAATCCAATTTCAAATCACCTGAGAATGATTTGTGAAAACTGCATCCTGTTCTAAATATCCTCAAGTTTTAGTCTAATTTTTAGATAAGAAACTGTGTACATTTAGTACGTCTACCTAAAAGCATGACCTCACTTTGATAATGTGTTTGTAATTGTTTGACACTGCATGATGTCATGTTTTCAGTATTGAGGAGAGTCTCTAGCTGTGGCACAGAACACATACGCTGTCAAGTGGTTCAAGGGGAGAGAACTCAACATGGTGTTCGGTCTGCAGCTCAGCTTTTCAAGAGTGGTAGGCATATATTTTCTTAATTAATGAATATGTTTGCTTGATTATTATGTTATATAGTAATATACTATTATTAGACTTGGTAAGATGAATATTGAAATAGGTAGCCATGTTTGTTATCATATGATAAGAGGAACACTGATCCTAGAGGTTTGCACAGAGTGTGTGGTCTGGACTATCAGTTGTCAGGTGTCTGAGTGGATTTGAACTGGGCTGTTAACAGTCCAGATCTCAATGCAGTTGAGAGCTTGTGGCACTCTCCTACCCCGAGTTCCATGCGGCAAGCCAGCATAGTACCTCTGCCACAGGCCAGAAAGATATGACGATTCATCACATCTTGCAGCGTCCATTCAATATAATGTACAGATTTCTTTTACTTTTTTATTTTTGACGAGTCTACACATCTAATTAAACATCTTTAATAGAATGAATTAGTTTCACTGAGAAAATATCCAAAAACATGTAACACTATTTCGATTTGCGTAGCGATCCTTTGTTTACATAGGTTGTACGGCACCAAGTGCTGTCATCGAAGCCGACGGAGAGCAAACGATGCAGCCAGTTTGATATCTAAATATGTACTGTCATATACCTAACTGTCGCAGTTGTGGAAGAATATATATGTAACAATGTAAAACATTATGAAGAGAGCGGCGAAAAGCTTTCGTGAGTCCAGTCTCTTCTTATTATGAATATGCGCGTTTGATTACAAACAAGAGAAAAGTCCGGTCACGTAATATGCAAATTAGCCTGTGGCAGTGATGTTATGTTAAGTCATCGCTGTGCCGGAGTGTGCACTGTTGTGGAACCAGTCAGAATGACGAGCCTGGAACCCTCCTGTTCAGTACATCAGGAATTGGACCAGGCACTTCACAAAGAGTAGAATAATATCCCACAAGACAGGTTATGACATTTCATAGCTTCTTGGAGCAAGCATCATCATAATGGCTGGTGGATACACTAAGCACTGACAGAAGTCGTTGATAACTCAACTCTATATATTAGTGTATTGTTTTTAATCTGAAAGAGACATTGTGTACACATGTTGTTGTTTCTGTGCTGATACTTACAGCACAAAGGTTGCATTTTACTGATGCTCAATATTCTTGTCTCATCATCTTTCTGTAAGCAAGTTGTCACTCAAATGTGTTCTCAATTAATCCCTTTGCTGAATTTCGATACAGTCATAAATTTGGATGGTGCTTAACTTTTGCATAAGTGTATATACTGCAGTCAAATTTGTTAGTCAGCACACAGCACTTGAGGGGTGGTGGGTAGCCTAGTGGTTAAAGCGCAAACCTAAAGACCCGGTTGATCCCCATGGGCACAATGTGTGAAGCCCATTTCTGCCCCTGCCGTGAATTGCTGGAATATTGGCCAGCACTTGTGTTAAACAAAGTCCAACCTAACCTAATTGATCATGTCATCAAGCAGCTAATTAATGGCCAGCAATCATGAATCGTGTCTTCATCCTAGGGCAGCACTGTCAACATGAATGTGATGCAGCCTGTGTACAACTTTATTGGAAAGTGGTATCAGGGATTCAAGTGTCTAGGAGTGTCTCTGTTTGTAGGTGAGTGTTGTCAGCAGACTTGTATCAGTGTACTGGACAGATGATAACTTCCCTGTTGTCAAAGCCACGGAGACTTTGCATACTTATTGTCACTAATGATTACACGAAGATTCAGAGTCTGGGCCTCCTTTCACAAAGCGCTAAGGTGATCGATCGTATGTCACTAAGGTAACCTTAGTGCAATGTTAAAGAATGGGAGTTAAGGTTAACCTTAGTAAAGGTAGCTCTGTGAAAGAAGCCCCAGATTTCCAATATGGCCACCATATTATCCTAAATTAAAAATATATATGGCCATTGCTCTACTTATTACCATTTTTGTACAAAATGTAATGAAATTTGGTATTTCTCTATTTTGTGTGATTCATTTAAAAATAATTGTTTCTGAGACCATGTTTTATTCAGGTCCTTAAATTACAATGTTAGTTTTTATTCAGTATGTGTATGTAATATTTAAAGATCAACACTGACCATGACATTTGTTTGATGATGATGATGATGTATCTGTTGTCGATGTGTGCCGTCGTGTGATGCTGGTCGTGGAATGTTGTAGGTGCTGGCACGTGTGTATTCTCTCTTATCTGTGCATTTACCCTGGCCTTCTTCGACAAGAGGAACGACAAAGTCCTGAAGAAACAGGCTGCAGCCTCTGGTATGCTATCTTCTCTTCAACTGCTGATATAAAACTTGACTTAAACTTTGACACAGTCGAACAATAGTTCATCTAACCTGCCTTGGAAGGCAACATGACTTTTGTCACTGCTAGTTGTGTGTTTATTTTGTCCCAAACATTTGCAACCTCAGTCAGTAGATATTTTCTTCACTGCCCAATCTGACCGCTTAGTGGTGCATGGTTAGAGCAGTATAATGAATATTTCATGGTGCACATCGCACAGCCATCCAAAAAGAACGCGAATAACTACTTGTTGGTCCCTGCCTGGCATTAATGGTACAATATGGACTTGTCGGCTCGAGTCAGTATAATGTAGTATTCATGCTTGACTTTGTTTGGGGTACATGTGGGCTATTAAAACCAGCTTCAGTCTGGGCTAGTACAAGCAGCCAGCATTACATACAATGCACGCTTCATTTATTTATTCCCAAACATTTGCAAACCCAGTCACCTCAGATATTTTCTTCAGTGTCTATTGTAGGAACCCCAACATTGTGTTGCAATGCTATTGCAAATGTCTACCATAATTGTGTGGCAAACTTGCCATTGTTGTGTTGCAACCTTACTATTATGTTGCAGACGAAGTTGTTCGCTTGACCGACGTCCGCTACTTCCCCCTCACCATGTGGCTCATCTGCATCATCTGCGTTGCCTACTACGTTGCCGTCTTCCCATTTGTTGGCCTGGGGCTGTGAGTATTCACACAGTGAAACTTCATCACAACATTGCTGGACAGAATATCTGGAAAGTTCATCTTTGGATTCTCAGCTTTGTTATACAAAAAACAAACAAGGGTAAAAGTTGTTAAAGAGACAACAAGGACTGGTTGGCTAGCTGTTTAAACTGGTGCATGTCAGTACTTGTACAAGGAGACACGTGCACACAATCTTTGAATGGATGTCTATTTGTTTCAGTGTTTTCTTTGAAATGAAGTATGACTACTCCCCATTCCTCGCCAACAACGTCAACAGGTATGTTGCTTCAAGTACATCTGTAGTTACTGTTTGTTGTCACTTTGATATTTGGGGCAGTTCAGTAGCCTAGTGGTTAAAGCATTCGCTCATCACCCCCAAGACCAAGGTTCGATTCCACACATGTGTATGAAATAAGACAAAAACCCAGCCGGACATCAGGGATGGTAACTTCAAAATGTTTCCAGCCCAAATTGGTTTTAACCAGACCTGACAGTCCAAAGAAAATAACTCAGTGTTTACTAAGATGTATGGAACATGTTATTTAAAATTATTGGGCTGACAAGCTGAAATTCTAGACCGTCTGTCCGAAATCTAGCCCGTCTCGGGCAGTCGGACAGGTCTTATTTCATACACTGGTGACCGCCTCCGTGGTATAGTGGTTAGAGCGTCCGCCATGGAGTGCGGAAGGTCGCGGGTTTGATCCCCGACCGCGACATACCAAAAGACGTTAAAATATGGTACTTGTTGGTCCCTGCCTGGTGCTCAGCATTAATGGGTACAACGAGGACTGGTCAGCTCGGAGTCAGTATAATTTGTCTGAGTTGGGTATTCATGCTTCACTGCGGCATGGTATCTCAGTGGGCTAGCACTATAAAACCAGCTTCAGTCTGGGCTAGTACAAGCAGCCACACATACACATACACACGCATGCACGTCGTCATATGAGTGAAATATTCTCAAGCACGACGTTAAACCCAATTCCACCATCACCATCATACACTGGTACAATGTGTGAAGCCCATTTCTGGTGTTCCCTGCCATGCTATTGCCAGAATATTGCTAAAAAGCCACGTAAGCCCATACTCACTCTCTACTTTGGTATTTTTTTACCTACAACTCATAGGATTAATAAAAAATCTTCTGTGCATTAGTATATCAATGTCAGACTCACTATAGTTATATAGAAAATCAGTTGATCTTGAACTTCTTTTGTATGGTATACTCGTGATAATGCCGACCGTGGCAGAAATATTGCTACTTTAATTCATGCTTTCCCCCTGCATTGAACTGACAGAGTGGAATGACACAGGTCTTTCTTATTTCCCAGTAAATAAACAACAAATTTAAAGTTTAAAAATTTATGTCTGACATTTAATAAGACAGAAATAGAATAAATAGCCTCAAACCTATGAATAAATGTCCATACACTTTCTGTTATGGTGTTAACTCATTTCTATTGTGAATGTCTTCCTGATAATAGATGTTCACTGCAATTTCCACTGCAAACTACAGACAGGAGTACTGTGCGTATCTTTGTCCCACAACGCTAAAATTTCAACTGACATTTAGCTGTTCAAAGTAGTTAACTGGTACAGATCATGAAAATCACAGGATTCACAAAAACACATGCAAACTGTATAGTGAAAGGTATATTCAAGTGATCTGTCCCAAGACAAACCAAAACAGCTGTTTCCTTCTTTTCAGTGGCTTAAGACAAACTCACTCACTCTGTAAAATCTTTAAGTAAACCTTTTGGGCGCCAGCGGATCACTCATCTTGGGTGGAGAAAATCCCTGTTTGCCCAGATTGTGTTTCATGAGTTTCCAACATTTCAGATCAACATTAAACCCAGTTTGCCTGATAAATCACTCTAGTGTTTCCCTTGCAGCTTGGTGTACATCATCTCCGCAGTTGCCTCCCCTTTGTTTGGTTTCCTGATTGACAAGAGTGGGAAGAATATCTTCTGGGTGATGGCTGGTGTCCTTGTCACCCTGGGATGCCACGCCATGCTGGCCTTCACCTTCATCAACCCTTATGTTGCCATGGTAACCAGACTTTATCATGTGATACTAACAAGGAAATGTGTTTGATTTCAAATACAGACAAATATTAGAAACTTACTTTTAAACTGAAGGAATCTGTCCCATTATTAATTTCTAATTTTGGACAGTTAAATCTACTCGGCAAGGAAACAGTGAAATAGATCAGCAAATGCTCCCATGTTGGGAAGGGAGATAACTATTGCATATCAGTCTGTTCCTCATGTTGACCTGTGCCTGTCTACTTTCAGTCCACCATGGGTCTGGCCTACTCGGTCCTGGCCAGTGCTCTCTGCCGATGGTGTCCATGGTCATCCCTCAGCACCAGCTTGGGACGGCATACGGAATGTGAGTACTCTCAAGGATATATTGTTCTGACAATACTGTTAGTAAGTGAGTGAGTTTAGTTTTACGCCGCACTCAGCAATATTCCAGCTATATGGCGGTGGTCTGTAAATAATCAAGTCTGGACCAGACAATCCAGTGATGAACAGCATGAGCATCGATCTACGCAATTGGGATATGATGACGTGTCAACCAAGTCAGCAAACCTGACCACCCGATCCCATTAGTTGCCTCTTACGACAAGCATGGGTTACTTAAGATCAGTTCTAACCCGCATCTTTACGGGACGTGAGTACTATTATGGATCTATTGTTTCACGCTTTAAGAGTATATAGAATGTGAAGACCATCAGGTATGTATTGCTCTCACACTGTAACAGCATAACTGCCATCTGTCAACATTTTACGTGTTTGTTACAACTTTGCAGCTAATATACGAAAATATGATTTCTTCTCTAATTCTCACAAAAATGATTGTAGATATCAAAATTTCAATATTGACTTAAACCAGTGAAACTGAAACTTCACTAAAAGGGCTGTAGCCCAAGTTAAAAGAAATTAAAAAGAAAACATGTTAACCACGAGGTTAGATCTTGTAAATTTACAATGTAAATCTGTGATGAGTGCAATCTTCAATAAATGCCTGTGTTACAGAATGCAAGCTGTACAGAACCTTGGTCTAGCCGTCATATCGCTGGTTGCTGGGATAATCGTGGACTCCAAAGGCTACCTTATCTTGGAGGTGTTCTTCATGGCCTGGCTATGCAGTGAGTACAGGGATATAAAGGGAGATCACTCTCGAAAGGTCACACTGAGAAGGGGGATAACTAATTTGGCCAAAATCATGTCATTAGGTCACTCTCAATATGCTAAACAGTGGTGGGCTGGAAAGTAACTCTTAAGAAACTTGACCAGATTGGGAAGGGAGATCACTCTCAGTAAGCTTGGCCACACTAGTTCCTTCCCAGCTTGTGACACCTTTAATAGCTTCCTAGTATCATGGTCCTACATTTTCCTGTTTATGTTTTTGTGTATGACTACTGTTATCATCTAGTAAATATGTTTGGGATTATCATCTAGTAAATATGTAATAGGTTTACCACAGACAACTGTTATCATCTAGTAAATATGTAATAGGTTTACCACAGACTACTGTTATCATCTAGTAAATATGTAATAGGTTTACAACAGACTACTGTTATCATCTAGTAAATATGTAATAGGTTTACCACAGACAACTGTTATCATCTAGTAAATATGTAATAGGTTTACCACAGACTACTGTTATCATCTAGTAAATATGTAATAGGTTTACCACAGACTACTGTTATCATCTAGTAAATATGTAATAGGTTTACTACTGTTATCATCTAGTAAATATGTAATAGGTTTACCACAGACTACTGTTATCATCTAGTAAATATGTAATAGGTTTACAACAGACTACTGTTATCATCTATAAATAGTAATATACAACAGACTGTAATTTTACAACAGACTACTGTTATCATCTAGTAAATATGTAATAGGTTTACAACAGACTACTGTTATCATCTAGTAAATATGTACAAAATTAGATGCTCTTTGACTGGATGCAGCTGTTGTGTAGAGAGTTCCACGAATCGGCTTTCACTGAGTAGCAAACTCCTCACTATAAACTTGGCGACAGCAGGAAGGGAGATCACTCTCAAACTTGACATTAAAGGGAAATCACTCTCGATGAACTTGACCAGACTGATGTGTAGTGATGTCACCTAGAGGTGAGAAACCCAAGCTGGGGTGATGTGATTGAACCCATCGTACCCTGTATATGAAATGAATATCACTTTAATGTGTGATCTGTGATTGTCTCTCCACAGTGGCGCTGATTGCTGCAGTCTTTCTGTACCTGGTAGATGCTACAAGAGGTATGTTCTCAAACAAATCTCTTAAAGCCTGTTAAATGTCTCCTACAGTATAGGGGCTGGGGATATTAGTCTTTCATGCATGTTGTGTCTAAACTTTGTTCGATCATGCTATTCTTGTTTATGCTATTATAACATTGTATTACCTTTTGTACCAGAAATGTGAAACATGTATTGTTCAAAACAGCAGTGTTATGCTGTGATGTTAATGAAACTCATTTCAAAGCAGTTGATATCTTAACTCACCTGTACTCACTCCGTTCCAGGTGGTAAGCTGAATATGTCTGCCAAGAAGCGACACCAAGAAGCAGATGCTCTCAAGGAGAAGGAAGAAGAGTAAGTAATGCATTGTTGTCAGGAGGAACTGCTCAATTACAGACAACCACGTTACTTGCAAAATATGATTATTTTTTCTTATCCTGACTCATGATCTTTTGATTATCTCCCTTTCCCTTGCGAATGGTAGTGGAACGATCTAGTAGTCGTGGAAGTCGATTGAGTCGCCGATCTCGTAGGTACTTCTGGTAGAAGTAATGGGGGATCATCAAAAAACGTCTATTTCATGCGGAGGTAATATCTCTTCGTTGAAGGATTTCTGATGCATTGACTTACTAGGCTGCGTAGATTTACCCTCCGATCTGGTAACAGATGCTTTCTTCTGCGACGTAGAAGAAGACGACGTCTTTGTCTTAGCTTGAGTCGGAGTCAACTGCGTTGTAGCCGATCTCTTCTTGGCCCCCGTACCAGCAGACTGCCCCTTCAACGTACTCAACATAGCACCAGTATTATGAATCTCTGCAGCAGCAATCAACATACGGTTTGCAGGCTGATCTGTTTTATCAGCCGTGACTTGTGATGACTTCCTCACCCGATCCATGGCACGTCTATAGATATAAGACAAATATTGATTAACTTGTAGATTTGATAAATCAACACAATAAGTACAGCGCAAGCTGGAAGAACATAGTTTGATGCACAAAGGCATTGGGGTGAGGATCAGCCACGGATAACCTGTACCTGCAAACACTGCAAGATGTCATGTTACATCACAATGAAATTATGACACAAATACAAATAATTTTGTTATATATTTTTTACATATAATACAATGGTGTTATAGCCAAATCCATACACAACGTAATTTTAAAGAATAGGATCTAAATAAAAAGGATATAATGCCCTATACGGGACTCCAGTGCTCGCCCAACCATCCACTTGGGCGAAAAGGGAGAGAGTGACAAGTAAGGCTGGTTGCATGACTGTTTACGCGGGAAAAGGGAGGTAACTCGTGGGTGAGTGTATTTTTACGTCCGCTTCGGGATTCAAGTGTTCCACTACCATTCGCAAGGGAAAGGGAGATAAGCAAAAGATCATGAGTCAGGATAAGTATAAAAATATCAGTTTTTACTTGAAAAATTACATGCTTGAATACTTTGCTTGCTCTATGTTTCTGGTCAGTTCCAGCTTGTAGCAAAATTAAACATGGGTAACTGATTCAGAATTATAACTCTCAGAAGCTGCTACTGGTCAGTCATGACTGCGATTGATTTTTATCTATTTTTAGCACATTTCGGTGTTCTTGTACTTACAGGTTCGAATTTCAAAGGTTGTTGATTTGTTCAACCTGGCTAAGCACAAACATTGACCTTGACCTTTATTCCATTCTCAAACAGCCACAACTCTTCAAGTGTTGAAACTTTTATGTTGTGTAACACTGCAATAACTACTGTACTGCCTAGAATGTTTCATGAAATGAGGACCTAGTGTATCAGGAGCCTTTCTAATATCCTCCGCTGTATCACTTGATGTTTTGAGGGTGCTGGAGTAGCCTAGTGGTTAAACCGTTAGCTCGTCACGCCGAAGCTTAGGGTTTGATTTCCCACATGGGTACCATGTGTGAATCCCCACTGTCATATTGCTTTAATATTACTAAAAGCAGCTGTAACCCCAACTCAATCACTCACTTTATGTTTTGTCTTTCAGAAAGAAACCCCTGAACTAAGCCAGCCCAGCACATGCAGCCATTACAGTATTATACAGAAAATGCAAATGTTGACATCAAACTTAAGATGATGGGCAGCTGGAAGGAAAAAACACACGTTTTGAGTTGTGTTATCAAGCTGTGCGAGGAAAATCAGGAGTGGAAATAACCCATTGCCCGACGTCCGAGTCCAGTGTTTTTTTCTGTTGGGCAAGCAAATTTGTATATCACACTGTACTGGTGTCCAGTTGACTTTCCACATTTAATTATGTTGTTTTTTTAAAAATCAACAAGAAAACGGTCGGTATAGTGGAAAAATTATCAGGGCAAGTGATTTTACATGTGTCACTGTACCAGAGTACACTTGCAATTTTAAAGTTATTTCCACCCCTGAAAATGTTAATTGTCTAAAACATGTTTATGAATGAGCACAAAGTTTAGAAATCATTATGAAAGCTATGAAATGTGTTCATGAGAGTGAGACAATTTCATCTCTGGGCATTTTAGACTTATGACATACCATTTTCACTATATAGCAGTGTGTCATTGTACAGAAGGGGCGGTAGGGTAGCCTAGTGGTTAAAGCGTTGGCTCGCTCACAGCCGAAGACCGGGTTCGAAGTCATTGTACAGAGCAGCCTTAGTGTTCCGAGTGTCCATGTTAGGTATAGGAATTACCCTCACCTTGGCAGCAAGATCACTTTACACAACGGCACCCTGATCTTGCAGGTTGAGTCTATACCAGGTGATAGACATGAAAAAGATGAACAAGTCTGAAAACTTTTACATCACTTTTGTGTTATTTGTATTGAGAACATTTGTCAAGTTTGGTGGGCTCAACAGCACCTGTATCCTTGGTAACCATTTACTGTATGGCTGTATGGTGTAATGCACTCAATGACCCAAATACTCATTTAGCTACATTATTTACAATCGATCATGACAGTCGTGTATTCTTAAGTCATTCAGACTGCCGATATGACGTTAAATATTAACTCACTCACTCACTTAAGTCATTCAGCATTTGTTTGCATTATTACACATTCAAAGACATACATGTATTTAACATTTTTTTAAATATCATCGAATTTCACTTTTTCAATTTTCAATTTCAACTGTGTAAATGCACACTATGTTGAACAAAGTAATTATTGGGTTGGTTTTTTTCTAGTGTTTGATAAATTTCAGAGTTCAAAATGTTGAAAGGTTGAAAACAAATTGGATTGAATATAAAGGTTGTTTACTGAATATAATCAAATTTGTATGTCTAGGTCTTACTGTATGTAAGTATATATAATGTATATATGGGTATTTTATGCCAGTCTTTCAATCTTTGTGCCATATTCCACTGTATATGGAAATACATTTATCGACATAAATAGTCTTATTGTGAAACTGTCTCAGGTATTTGGGGTCCAGGGCCTAGATTTTCGAAGCTCTCATAGCGCTAAGATGATCTTAAGTGCCATACGTTAACATTAACTTACGACCATCTTAGCGCTAAGAGAGCTTCGAAAATCTAGACTCAGGCTTTTATGTCAACCTTATAAAAGATCATTCACTAAGGTCATTGCTCATTTCAAATTCTTGTAGCTGTGTCAGTGTTGTAGGGGCCTTGAAGGTCATTGACTGTGTAGATAGTAGGATTTGTTTATGGTTGATGTCTCAAAGAGCTCCATCATAGTGTTTAGTGGTGTGTTAGTTTCATGTTCTATACCAATCAGGAGATAGGTTATACATGTATGTTTAATGAATACAGTTATACACCAATCAGGAGATACGTTATATGTTTAATGAATACAGTTATACACCAATACATATATGTAAAATAAACAAAAATATTTATATGTTTACTTAAGGAGAATTTTAATTGACGTTCTGCTTTATAACCTGTGATGGAACCCAGGACTCGACATAGACACAGATTTCCTGGATATTCATCGTAAGCCAGAGCTATGTTAATTGGAGATTGAATTTAATTTGTACTCTTTGACAGTTAATGTCAACATGAGATTTTAATTGTTGATTTAAACATTGGTAGCGTTACTGGCATTCTATCTTGACAGGTATGGCCTTGTACTATTTTGAAGTTAATGTTAGCATGAGATTTAAAATGTTGATTTGGGTATTGGTAGTTTTATTGCCATTCTATGTTGATAGATATGGATTTGTACTATTTGAAAAGTTAATGTTTAAAATGTTGATTTGGGTATTGGTTGGTCATCACCATTCTAGCCAACAGCATAATTCTCATTTTATGATGAGTCAAGGTGTGTCAGTTATAAGCACTTGAAACAGGTGAAACACCAATAGATGCGAATGGCAATGTTATTGTTATTTTATAATAACTTCTGATTGACCAATCAGATTCAAATATGCACCAAAGGCATTGAAATAAATATTGTATTCAGGGTTTTGTGTAGGATGAAAGCTTGTGTTAGTTTAACAAGCACAAGGCATTACCATATTTCAGTGAAAATCAAATCCACGTCTGCCTCTAAATCAACATGGGTCACACACTCTGTTCAGTGTCTGTAACAGAGGTCTGTGTTTTTAATGTCTGTCATTCATGATTACTCCCTTTATTTAATAATGACTGTTTCCTGCAAATGTTCGTTTTGTATTCTGGAATTTGAGATTGCATTTCGCTAGTGAGTTGAATAGAACAGAATAGACACCAAGCCTCTAGTACTCCGTAACCAGGTCCATGGCTCTCAATTTACAAACCCTAGACATCGAATAGACGTAATACTGTACTTACCAAATATACACATACAAGCTGATGACAGTGAACATACTTATGTTTAGTATCGTAACGGGGCGGTGGGGTAGCCTAGTGGTTAAAGCGTTGGCTCGTCACGCCGAAGACCCGGGTTCGAATCCCCACATGGGTACAATGTGCGAAGCCCATTTCTGGTGTTCCCCGCCGTGATGTTGCTGGAATATTGCTAAAAGCGGCGTAAAAACCAAACTCAGTCAGTCAGTCAGTATCTGACATTTACATTTAAATTGCCATCTTCTTATTCCAGTATTTAATGACAGCTTCTTCCTGAAGATATCATGATATAATAGAAGATGGGTGTCCACGGTGAATTTGGTCATTAATGTTTCTAAAACATGTGATATTTTGTCCTTGCTTCAGATACTTCTGAGATAGAAATCTCTACAACAAGCTTTAATTTAGTCTTGCCCGATTTTTTATTCTTCATAAAACCAAAGTGTTTTTGAACATTTTCAACACTTGTGCTTTACACAGATTCTGAATTAGAAGCAGCCAGTGGTTTAGTCTGTAGATCTAATATTTTAGAAGCTGAACGTGTTTCCATGTTTTCAGCTCCACATTTCACTGATTAGAGTTACCTCCCTTGGCTGGACATTCTATGTGCTCAGTTCATGGTCTTGTAGACACAAACCCCCAGCCATGGGTTTTGCAGAGTTAGTTTATGTCCATGACCTCAACTATTTGGGTCCTATTTTCCTCGGCAAGGTGAAAAATGGTATGAAAAATTAGTACTATTCAAAGTGGCATTAAACTTACATAATCAAATTTTACAGACAAAATCATTCAAATTATTTTTTGGTCATCTCATTCTAGAGATGCTTGGGGCAGTTGTTAATGTGTTTGCTCATGACACCAAAGTCCAAGGTTTGTGTCCAATGCTGTAATATTGTTGAGTCCCTTTGTATGGTGACATATACTGGTTATATATCACCATGACAAAGGTGATATAACTCTTTGATCATTAGGACATCAATGACAGCTTTCCTTGGAATGGTTCCATCTGATTTAAGAGGGTTTCATCAACTTTTGTATCAGTTTTTAGACAATATTGGTTAAATTTAGTACATGATTTTACTATTTATGCTGCTTAATTTCTCCTGTAGTACTTGTATATATGTGACAATTGTCTGGCTAACGGACTTCGTGTTTCCATGATTTTTATTCCCTGTAACTATGATTGGCCTGACATCACAGTCTGTACTGTATTTGTAAAGTCTTGTCTATTTAATTATGTTGATAGTGGCTATGATTATGAATCAAAGCATATGAATATGATTATACTGTGCACTAATAATATACCAAACTGGTTATGTCGTAACACAATGACTAAATGTTGTTCCCCAAGGCCAAATGTCTATATAAACATACCTGCTATGGTAATGATCTTGGGCATACACAGTTTGATAGCTTTTGTTTGTCTACTATGCTAGGTTGCTATGCAATATTACTATGCTAAATTTCTATGCTAAAGTACTTTGCTAAAGTAATATGCTATATTTCTATTATGATTTTTATTTACCAAATATAAATGCTAAGTATCTATGCTAAATTGCCACACCATCTTTCAATGCCAGATTGCCAACAGAATCTGTTTGCTATATATTCCCTTATGTGACAATAGCTTATGTTGATGTTTATGTATGTATTATAAGTTGTCTGTAGTGTACGAGGATCCAGGCTATGGGTATTATCATATATATAGTATACTTCATTCTCAGGGACCTTCATCAGCAAATAGGGCAGTGGGGTGGTCTCGTGGTTACAGCATTCGCCAGCTACGATGCAGACCCGGGTTTGATTCCCCAATGGGTACAATGTGTGAAGCCCATTTCTGGTGTCCCCCACCTTATATTGCTGGAATATTGCTGGAATATTGCTAAAACTCATCAGCAAATATACAAGCAGTTATGCATTTGCTGGTCCAAATGACGAAAAGAAAGGCTGCAGTACCAAGATAAAATAATGTGGTTTATATGTGTTTCAGTGCCACACTTGGCAATATGCCGGGTACATATTGATATGATTCAGGGCCTTAGTTGTTTTGAATTGACCTTGAAGACAGATATTCATCAGTCAGACAAATACTTTAGACTTATTCCATCCCATATCTGGCATTTCTGTAACTATTCTTGATACTGATTGGCAACAAAATTTAGAAAGTGTAACCTTTAATCCTCAAACACACCTATTTGTAAAATCCACATGACCTTTCATTGCTTCTCTAATTAAATCATCCACTTCTTAGCTCAAAATTGGCTGAAGGAATTCTGAGGGGCAGCTGGGTGGGCATAAATTATAAAGATGTATAGTGTATTTGAAATCCATGATTTCTTTATTCCAAATTACTCTGTAAAGGTAACAAAAAAGTCACACACAAATAGAATACCATATTAAGCTACTATGGAATTATGCTATTGTCATTTTTGGCATCAGAATCAGTTGTTTATATTTTTCAGTTACTGTAATGTTTT